ATCAAGGGAAAACCCTAGATTGAGTGCACAGAGAACAGAAATCTAGGCAGATCCGAGTTGCTTAGTTCAGCTCTGATACTATGTTATAATTCGGCCTGCCTTTGAGTTCTGTTTGTCTGTTACCAGTAAAGAAGAAAGAAGAAGAAAGAAGGAAGAAAGAGAGAGAGAAAGGAGGAGAAAAGAAAAGAAGAAAAGTCTGGTTCGAATTAGGGAAAAAATCACTCTCCCATTCAGCTAGACATGTTTTTATATTATTAATATAATGGAAAAGACACAAGTGCCCTTTATTAAGTAAGAAACACTAGTTCTAACATCATATTACAGATCAACAACCTCAACATCAGTATAAAGACAGAAATACCCCTACGCTAACAATATTAAACTCAGAATATTTTATAGGCAGTAAGTTGCACGATTGGAGGATAGTGTTCCATAATGCTATGCCCCTCCATCCTAGAGGTTGATCAGCAAATTCACAAATATGTCGTATGATACAAAACAAGCTGCAGAGTACTCTATAAAGTTCTCTTGGAGAAAACTTCAAATTTTCCTTGTATTATCCCAGGAGTTGGGACTCTGGATATATGTCAGTTTAATCAAAGTTGGAACTGTCTTGCTGTTGGGGATTTGGATATATGTGAGCATAACTGGAATAAAATGGTTCTGGTGGCCCGATTATCCCAATTATTAATTGGGACAGTTCTGACTCTTTGGTTTTGTCCTGATTAAAAATCAGTTCGGGACTGGTACATGCTGTCCCTAACCAGACTCAACCCATTGACAGCCCTATGTTCCACCCTTATCATTGTAAACTCAAATACCTGTTCATCCCTCCTATACCTCTCTTCAAATATTCTTTCATTCCTTTCACACCGAGTCCCCATAAAACAGCACTCCGCACACATTGCCATAAAATCTTTTTGTCTCCAGGCTGAGCATCTCAACCATCTTGGATCAAATGGACCCAATACTTCAGCCAATGCCATCCTAACTCTTCCCTCTAAAGAAAAATAAATGTTACCACACCAGAGAAGCACCACTTGGCACAGCATGTTTTGTTTGATGAAATTCTTTCTATTGTGGAATATACGTCTGCATCTAAGGAGTTTACTCTCCAGCCCATTGTTTGGCTCCGACAGAATGAATTTGTGGAATATTTTATGTATTTGTGGCCGGTGGATGTGGCTCCTATGCCGGGAGCTGCCTCCAGCAAGCCTGCTGCACTATTTGCTTCTTTGATGAATAAAATTACCTTATCCTTCTTCTTTTTTTTTTTTGATTGGAAATGGTGTCCAAAAAAAAAAACAAATCTAGTTGACTGGACGATCAGCTGAGAAGGGCCCAACACCAATACATGGCAGTTTGTATTAGGCATCATATATAGATTCTGCCAACTAAGTCTATTATATTGAGTAGTCGAACAAGACTACAATCTGTTTTAAATGTTGATGAGAAAAAAACAAACAAAGATCGAAGAGGAGAGAAGAGAAGAAAAGGAGAGGAGAAGAGGAACTCAAAGATAGAGTTCGGAAAAGAGAGTGAGAGAGAGCCCGCAATTGCCACCCCACTCCTTATAATTTATATTCATATCCAATTAAATGTAAAAGGACTGAATTACCCTTGCTTACAAGGAAAAATAATAAAAGAAATTAATAACATGTCTGAAATAACTACCAATAACAACTAACTGTACGGACACAGTGGGGACCACATCAGTGTTCTCTATACTCCCCCTCAAGTTGGGAATAGATATTTGTCATTCCCAACTTGCATAGGTCTACTTCTAATTTCTTCCTTGGAACAGCTTTGGTGAGAAGATCGGCAAGCTGCATGTCAGAGGTGATATACAGAAGACATACTTCTTGAGATGCAACCCTTTCTCTGATAAAATGTCGGTCTACTTCAATATGCTTAGTTCTGTCATTTTGTACCGGATTATGGGTTATACTAATAGCAGCCTGATTATCACATTACAGCATTAAGGGCTTCTCATAAGCAATACATAACTCCTCAAATAGGGATCTCAACCATAGGATTTCAGCCATACCATTAGCCATGGACCTATATTCAGCTTCAGCACTAGAACGAGAAACCACATTTTTTTCTTACTCCTCTAGGAGACAAGATTACCTCCTACAAAAGCACAACATCCAGAGGTAGATCTTCTATCATCAACACACCTTGCCCAATCAGCATCTGTACTTCTATCTTCATGTGGTCATTATTCTTGAATAAAACACCTCTGCCAGGGCACCTTTTCAAATATGCCAAAATCCTCTCAACTGCAAGTAGGTGAGTAGTTCCAAGACAGTGCATATACTGACTAACAAAACTAACTGCATAACTGATGTCCAGTCATGTGAGACAAAGATAGAGAAGTTTTCCAACTAGATGTTGGAACATAGCTTTATCTTCAAGAGGCTCTCCACCTTCTGCACTGATCTTGTGCTTCTGTTCAATAGGTGTGTCAGCAAGCTTAACACCCAACTTTCCAGTTTCTTCCAACAAGTCAAGAACATACTTTCTTTGAGAAACAAAAATCCCATGCTTAGACCTAGCTACCTCAATACCCAAGAAGTAACGTAGCTCTCCTAGATCTTTTACCTCAAACTCTTAATGAAGGAGTTGCTTAAGAGTCTCAATCTCACTGTTATCATTCCTTGCTTAAGAATCCACTTTCTTGATGAACAAGGTGTGGTCTGACTGGGCCTGCACATAACCAAACTTTTCAAGGGCTTGTCTGAATCTATCAAACCAAGTTCTGGGGGACTGTTTTAGTACATATAAAGCTTTGTTCAGCCGGAAAACCTTCTTTCCTGTTTCTGCACCATAAAATCCAAGAGGTAATTGCATGTAAACCTCTTCCTACAAGTCTCCATTAAGGAAGACATTTTTAACAACCATCTGAAACAAGGGCCAAGAGTAACTGGTTGCAAGAGATAATAAGACTCTAATAGTTGTCATCTTGGCTACTGGTGCAAACGTCTTCAAGTAGTCGATACCATATGTCTAAGTAAATCCCTTTGCAACTAATCGGGCCTTATACCTTTCAATAGAATCATCAGCATTATGTTTCACAGTAAACACCCATCTACATCTAACTGATTTCTTCCCTTTGGGCTGATCAACTATCTTCCAAGTATGGTTTCTGATAAGGGCATCCATCTCTACCTTCATTGCATCTTTCCACTCAGGAACTGACAAGGCTTCTTGCACTATTCTAAGTATGGGAATATCAGTAATGGATGCAAGAAAGGACTTGTAAAAGGGGGACAAATGATCATAGGACAAGAACTGGGAAATGCAGTGGGTTGTGGATGTGGTGCAACGGCGTTTGCCTTTACGGACTACAATGGGAAGGTCAAGGTCATCCAATGAAGGTGAGGGCTCAACAGTGGAAGGTGAGGGCTCAACTGTGGAAGGCATCTCCTCTGTAATATCTGATAAAGCAACTGTGGTACCTAGATCTGGATCCACAGAAGGAACTGGGGTCGGCCTAAATTACTGATGACCGAAATCAACCTGCCTCCACCGTCTGTGATAGACTCTCAAATCCCGGCACCTCTGACAACCCTCCCCATTACATCCCTCTTCACTTAATGGGACAAGTAAAGGAACTTCTGATGAGTCAATCCCAACCTCACTACTCTCCCCTTGAGAAGAAACCCTAGGATAATAGGGTTCATCCTCAAAGAAAGTGACATCCATAGAGACAAATCTCCTCCTAGAAGTAGGTTCATAGCAGCAATATCCCTTTTGAGTTTGTACATAACCAAGGAAAATACATTTTGAGGCCTTAAGATCAAATTTGGAACGATGAGGGCCAAGAATCTGAACAAAGCAAGTACAACCAAAGGTTTTAAGGGGAACAGTAAACAACTCTTTACCAGGATATAAAAGGGTAAAGGGAGGTTTCATGTCAAGAACCCGTAAAGGAATCCGATTAATGAGATATACTACTGTAAGAATAGCATCCCCCCAGAAACGTATAGGCACATTGGAGTTAAACATAATGCTTCTAGCCACCTCTGATATGTGTCTATTCTTTCTTTCGGCAACCCCATTCTGTTGTAGTGTATGAGGACAAGTACTCTAATGGATAATCCCATGGTCAAGGAGATAAGAGGCTAATGGTTTTGCAAAGTATTCTTTCGCATTATCGGATCTAAATATCTTGATTTTGACCCCAAACCGGGTTAAAATCATCTGATGAAAGATCCGGGTCAATACTGGAACCTCTCTCAAGAATGCATAAGGTAAACCCAAGAAAAATGGGTATAATCATCAACAAACAACAAGAAATATCTGTACCCCCCCCATACCATGGTTTCAAATGTCGTGAAACTTCACTAATGTCGCCCGACATATGTCGATGTTGATGCTCACCGACATGAAAATGGATGGTAATATAAAAATTACATTATTTTGGTCGACATTTCCTATATTTCGGAAATGTCGACCAAATCGGTCCAAATAACAAAAAAAGATAGTTTTTCCTATTATGTCGATAGGATGTCAACTAATGTACATTAATAATATAATATATTAGTATATTATGAAGAGGAACTCAAAGATAGAGTTCTGAAAAGAGAGTGAGAGAGAGCCCGCAATTGCCGCCCCACTCATAAGTTATATTCATATCCAATTAAATGTAAAAGGGCCGAATTACCCTTGCTTACATGGAAAAATAATAAAAGACAAATTAATAACATAAGTCTGAAATAACTACCATAACGACTAACTGTACGAACACAGTGGGGTTCACATCAGTGTTCTCTACATATTGCAAGGTTCAAGCAAGGATTGGCAAAATATTTTGGCAATCCATGATTTTAACCCAATAGTATCCTGTCAGATTAGTCATTAGAATACAGTTGAAAGTTGCTTATTTTACCATTTTAATTTGTGAGACTGAGAACTTACTTCAAATATTCACTCTTGGTTAGATAAGAAACATTTCACAAATAGTATAAGTTATGGAAAATATTTATCATGCTTACTGCAATAGCTGCAATTGGTGTTGTTATTCTTTCTATCACCTCTAATCCTTCCTTTGCAAGGCGAAGTTTTGTATGGCTAACATCAGGCTCCACAATAGGAAACCTGCTAGAACAGCAAGAACAACAAAAACAGAATGAATAAAACAAGAAAAATCGTAATGTAATTTCAACAAAAAGGAAAATCCAAAATATGGAGAGTACAATAAAAAAATCTTAAGTAAAAAACTGGCAAACCAAAGCAGAAAAAATAGCAAAACATTTTTATTAATCAACCAGACAAAGTTATTATATTTCTCATCATCTAGGCACGATATAATGAAACATGGGACTATGGAAAAACAGAAAAGTGAAAAAATTGGACAGAGATAAAGAAGTTTAAACCACAACAAAAAATAATAAAATAATTATTGCATCCACAGTTTTATCATTTCTGCAGTTTAGGACACAAAAGAGTAGAAAAAGCAAAAAGATTATAAACATATTTTTGAAAAACATTATTATAAAGAACCAACTTGAAATAGAACTTGAAAAAACATAAAGAGACAACTTGAAAAATATAGAATATGTAATATAAAGAACCAAGACTCAAGTAGTACGCTATACCAATTTCATTTTCCTCTTTCATTCTTTCTTTTTGAATAAGGACATGAGGCTCTTCATTTTTCATAGATAATAAAACTTTCATTAATGATCACAAAGTTATGCAAATATGGAAGTAAAGGAATAAATTGAAGAAGAAGGGTAAAATAATAGACCTGCAGAATGCATCGTCAAGCAGAAAAAAAGTGACTGCTTGACCAGTCAAACCTTGTTTGATCTGGCTGAAATTTGATGGAACTTAAGTACACATATAGTACTCAAATACTGTAGAATTTAAGTTAAATCCAGCATGTGGAAGTGTCGCAACTAAATACTTTAAGTTGGCTGAATTTTGGGTTCTGCAAGTCATGGTCAAAGTCCTAGTAAACCAGTTGACCAGTAGACCACATTAGCATTTATAGTAATTCCCGTCATCACTATTTATAGTATTGTCATCAATGTTATTTACAGTGAAGGATGACTTGCTACTTTTTGTAATTTCTGGTTTGTTATATGTAGTACAACTAGATTGTTTTAGTATCCTAGTTCCAAAAGGAAGTTTCTATTTTTTTTTTTTTTGGTTTGAAATTTGAATACAACTAGGAGTTAGAGACCAAATAGGAGTTGAAAGTTGCTATTTTGGGTCTACTAAAGAGTGTGAACAACTCTTGTAGAGAACAACCTATTCTATTCAATTGTTTTTTCCCTACTTACTAAGGACTAAATAAAAAAAATTCTTTTTTCTGTTTCTGCCATAGTAAGCAACTACAATGGAACTTATTCTTGCTTCCTCTTCTATTTTCTCTTCTTTATTTGATGTTGATACTTGCTGCTGAAGCCCATTGTTACGTGTTGGAAATTGTCTGCTTTCCAAAGTTAAAAGAGAAAAATTGAAATACAAAACCAAAGATGCCACAAGAGAAGTGCTTCACCCACATAGTAAAAGCATACACTGGAAAACAAAAACGAAAAAAAAAAAAAAACGAAGGAGCAGAAAATCTTTAGAGGTTTCAATTGGGACTTGGGTTTTAGAAGAGGCCTATGAGATACTGATATTCCTATTGTATCAAACTTCATAAAATTTCTTGAAAGGTGCTTTCTTGGATCCCTCTAAGTTTGATGGTCATATTTGGACTCCCTATCCTTCTGGTTCCTCTCCTGTGCCTCTTTTTTCAAAGTTTTGTGTCCTCTCTCCCACTTGCGATCCTTCCCTATTAAAGAGATTTTATCTAAGCTGATTCTTCCTAAAATAATGGCTTTTATTGGGAGGTTTAGCATGAGAGAATTAATACTTTGGATGTCCTTCATAAAAGAATGTCAAACTGGTGTTTATCCCCAAATTGGTGCATTCTATACAAAGTTGGAGGTGAGACTTGCTATCATTTACTAATCTCCTATCCATTTGCTACTTTCATTTAGGAAAGTTTCTTCTCTTTGTTTGAATGCAGGTGGACATTTCCTTCTAATATGAATTATGTGGAGGTGTATGAGAGCAGCTATTATTTGGGCTATATGGGAACTTGGGAAGAAAGGAATATAAGAATTTTCAAGGAACAAAAAAGAAAAGCAAGGAAGCAATAATTGAGTGCACTGTAGTGAGAGTGGTTCATTGAGTAAAATCTTTGGAGGTATTCTCATCTTACTCCACAGAAGACATAATAAAGAATTAGGGGGCAGTGGCTGGGTCTTCCCTTAAAAGGATGATGATTCAAAAGCAGTGGATACCACCAAAGGGGGGATTTATAAAACTGAAGACGTAAACTTTGATGGCTGCAGAATTAGGAATCCAGAACCATGAGGAGTGGGAGGAGTATCTAGAGATGAGAAGGGACTTGTAATGGCCCCTGTATTGAGCCCAATTGGAGTTAGTGACTCCCTAAGAGCAGTGGTTAAGGTTGTGCTGTAAGGATTGCAGTATGCTAGTCAAATGAATATAAACAAGCTGTGCCCATTGAAGGGGACTCACAAGTTGTAATTAGATGGATGCTAAATAATGAGAAAGCTTCATGTACTCAAGAGCATTAAATAGTTGACTAGGAATTGCCAAGTGAAGATTAAATTGCCATGTTCTCCTCCCTTCTTCCAGTTTCTCCTCTTGCTCTACACCTCTTCTTTTTCTTTCTATTCTTCTTGATTAGATACAACCATTTACTGCAGTTCTATTTTCTTCTGTCCAGGTGCATGCTTTGCCTAGCCTTTCAACATGCCTCAAGATCTAGGAATTCCTTTCACCTGGGTGTGTTTCTCGCTTTTAAATCAGTGATATATCGTAGGGATTATATATGTATTTTGAAGAAGATAACATATTATTGTGTTAATTTGTAGGAAGCATTGGATATTTAAGTACTGCTCATGTGCAACTATCTGCTATAAAATGGGAAACAAGAAAAACACCCAAAGTTATCATGCTATCTATACATTTTTTTATTAGCAAATAAAATTTATTAGATGAAATAATTAAGATTTGATACAAAAATAAAAGTTAATTTAGGTTTGCGTGCCTTTCTGAAGCAAGGCAAAAAAATGCAAAAAAGAATTCCAAGAAAATTCAAAAAAATGCCAAAATTTAAAAAAAAAATGCAAATTATTAGTATTAAAATATTAAAAAAATTTGTTAATTAAAAATATAAACTTAAATTTTAAAATAAATGCTTTAAAAAGCCTATTATCTCAAATTAAAATACATAAACACAACATGTAAGTCATATTTAAAATGAAAATATAAAAATAAAATCAAGTATAACATAAAAAACATATTCAAGCTTGTAAACTCTTAATCTCTTTATTTTTTTCCCAATTGCATTACTTCAAATAAATAATATGGTGTTAAACATTATGTACATTTTATTCTACAAGCTGCCTTTGTACCAAGCCCCTTGAGGCAAGCCCAAACAAGTCCATATTAGGGTCTTAAATTCCTAATCCCTATAAAAAAGAAAGGTATTATAACTTTAAGTGTCTTTTAAAAAATATTTTTCATTAGGATGAATGAATTAGGAACATTAGAAAATATGGACTTGTTTGGACTTGCCTAAAGGGGCTTGGATGGGGGTCTGGGGGTGAACCCCCGGCCCAACTACTAAGCACAAAAAACGAAAAAAAAAATGCACAGATTTTCCAAAGGTGCACGCCTAGGCTGAAGCACAAGGTGCACGCCTAGGCTGAAGCACAAGGTGCACCAGGCTCACCAAGCAAGTGCCTTTTGAAAATACTCCACCTAGGACCTAGGCAACTCGCATACCCTTAAATGCGCCTTGCCTGTGCACCTAGGCACGCCTTTTAAATCACTGATTGACCCCTTGTTTTGCTAGTGAACTTGTCATTACATTTTTTGTTCTTCTAACCTAATTAGGAATAATATTCAATTCCCTTGATAAGCATTCTATCTCTGACAGCATGCCTATTTATACAAGGGACTAAAGTATTGATTCTCATCCAAGGTATGACCAACATCAAATCCCCTTATGGTTCCAATTGTTGGAAGCCAAGCTGCTTTACTAATCTTAATCCTTGCAATAAAGCTAATAGTTCACCTTTCAACAAGAACCAACTCCAATTGGCCTTGAGTACATAGCCACCACCCTGCTTAAGGAGTCTCTGAACATACCTCTTATACTTGCTAGCCCAAATTCCCCAAGGAGCTCCCAAAGTTCAATTTTATTATATTATCTGTTGGGGAATTCCACTCCATAATCACCTTGTCTTTAATTTTAGAAGATTTTGCAACTTCAAACCATGTTCTTATATTTCCATTTACTATAAAAGTTTTAAATACTTCCAATGTCTTTGCCCAATGTGCAAATTTTGTCCTTACGCATTCCACAGTCCCTTCCTTGGGTCTTTCTTTCTCATTGAAAATTCACATGTTCCTCTTTTCCAAAATAGTCCATGCTACTAGTGCCCTAGCTTCCTTTGACATTATTCTCCCTTCTTCGGTTGCCTCAAGAAGTTTGGATTGAAGAGACTTACGACATCTTGAGGAGGGATCCACTTGCATCCAAATAGAGAGCAAAAATCCTCCCAAACATGAAGAACAAAGGGATAGGAGATTAGTAAATGGAGAATTGTCTTACCACTTGCTTTGCAAAGAAAGCACATACGAAGAAATGGACATTTATTAGGCCTTCTTTTTTGGAGCACATAACAAGTGTTAATCTTTCCAAGGAATACTTCCCAACACAAAGCTTGGACATTTGGTGTATTAGAGTTCGGCCTGCCTGTTAGACTGATAACAGTCAAGTAAAAGAGAGAAGAGAGAAAGAGAGAAAGAGAGAAAGGAGAAGAGTAGAAGAGAAGACAAGGAGGAAAAGGTCTAGTTTGAATGAGAGAAAAGTCAACTCTCCCATTCGGCCAAATTTGCTTTATATTACTAAAATATTGTGGAAAAGTCACATGTGCGATGGAAGAAGAACTCTTAGCTCTGGCTCATAATCATACATGGGAACTCACCACTCTTCCTCCTGGTAAGCACAGTGATTTAAAAGGCACGCCTAGGCGCTCAGGCGAGGCGCATTTTAGGGTAGGTGC